GAAACTGTTTTTTCTTCTTCATTGGTCAAAGGCTGCCTGAGCTGTGTTATACTATCACGGAGTTCACATTCCTGTCCTTGTGCTGTACTTTCTTTCTGTGGTGTGGTGTTCAGTGGGCCTGAGTTGACATGACTAATCTTATCAGAAGAATGCATGAGCCTGCCCAATCGTTCTATCCCAGGTGTAGGCATCGTGTGACGTGCTGATCCCCCTCTTCCGCCTCCTCTTCCTCTGCGACCTCTCTTGAAGTCACCTTGCTGCCTTCTCTCATGAGTGCACGGGCGCTGTGATTGGCCCGTAGTGTGATGACTTTGAGAGACTTGGGTTGCATCGGTGGAATCTTGGGACGAGGAAGAGAGTGACTGAGAAGATTTGGCACCGGAGGCATCCGTTGCAGGAGTGTCAGAAACATTAGCTGGAGCCTGAGGAAAAACACACATCCCACATTCATTTATTTATTTAATTTTTCACATTCTGCCATTGAGAACTCAGGCCATGAACACACTGCAGCTAAATACGATCATCACTCCTGTTCTGGGTGAATAAATACTAAAGGGGTCATGAACTGAGAAATCAAAATTACCTTGATCTTTTGATATTTAAGATGTCACTGTGCTATAAAACATTCTGTAAGTTTCAGAACTTAAAACATTCTTGTTAGTCTAAAAACAGCTCATATTAAAGCCAATCTGCCAAAACTACAGGTTTTAGAATGTGCCACGCTATGATGTAATAGTGTGGCTAAACTCCGCCTCCACAGGAGAAGATCAACGCCTGCTTCTACATCACTGCCTGTTTAGCCCCGCCCACCGGTTTGCACACATAGTTGGTAAATGACAAGAGCGGCAAATGCAGGTCTACGCAGAAACAAAATGATAAACTTTATATGATGAACTTTATTTTTAATGACGCACCAGACCAGTAAGAACGTGTTCCTTTGTTTACTTCATTTTACCACGGATTTGTTTACAAAAGGCACAATTTGACGCAGAATTTTCAGAAAGATTGAAACTAAAAGACAATGCTGCGCTGACTATGTTTTATTGAATCCGATGTCGTACCACACAAGTGTGAGTAACCGTTTTCATTACGTGATCACAATTGCTTTGTCTGATTAATATGTACTGAGTATTTATGTATTTTTAACCTAAAAAGCGTCCATCTATGATGAATGTACGCTGTCAAACATACACAACTATTAGCCAATCACAGCAGTGGGCGTTTACTTCCGAGTCTACAATCCGCCACGCCTATTCAAACAGAGCGTTCAGATGAAGGGGTCAAAACATGACAGTAAAAAGACTATTACTTATAAATTATGATGTTTTTTGATGTAAAAATCTTGAACATCATAAGTGGACCTCAGAGAATGGTATAAAATTAAAAAACAAAGGCAGTTCATGACCCCTTTATTACTAAATTATTATAAAAAGTAATATATGATCCATCTAGGATTTACCTCATTAATGTGAATTAGGAATCTATTGGACTCTGCTTCGGGGTCAATCACTCCACCCTTTTCCTTCTGCCGTTCCAGAAACTTCTGGAGGGCTGCCCATTTCTTTTTAAATTCCCCACCCATGACTGCATCGTCCTGCTGTGTGTGAAGGAATAATAAACACAATGTTCATGTGTGTCCACAGCATGTGTCCAGTGAGCATACATGAGGGTGCTGAGCCTTCCAACTACACATCCTGGCATAGTCAGCTAACAAGAGAGACTGCACACGGGACAATGACGTACTGTTTAAAAAAAAAAATCTACTGCTTGGCACAGAACACAAGGGTGACATTGTCCACTTGACATTTATAACAATGACAAACGTCAGGCCAGTTTAGCTTGACTCAACAGCTAACACCGTATCCACGGAGAATGATACAGTGTGTCCGAGTGTCTTACCTGTGTGAAAACTGGAGCAGGAGAGGAAAGGAGGGCATCCAAATCATAGGTGAGAGGCTCTCGACACACGGGGCAAACAACAGCTAACTCCTGTTAATGAAACGAAAAACACATAATATATCAAAAAACCCTTCCTTTTATTCAAGCTCACCTCACTGCCTTTTTATGGACTGCAACTAGTTAAGCTTTCACAGTGTAACACTGAAGTAAATGATATAGTAATAATAATAATGTAATACACAAAACTGTTGACTGGAATTTATTTCATACCAAATGAGTTGCATTTTGCTTGAAGTAAGGAAAACATATGAAAGTGTACAAAAAGAAGCCGCACCTCTTCTTCCGTCCTGTCTCTGGTTTTATCCTCCTCCAGCTCCCTCTCACGGGCCTTCAGCTCCATCTCAGAGTGAGTGATGTAGCGGCCAAGACAGTGAGAATGGAAATAGTGATAGCAGCTGGTCTTAGTGAACACTTCCCCTTCCTTATGGTTTTGAAAGAGGAGGAACAAGCACAACAACATTTACAATTTTTACAAACAGGCCACAAACCACACCAAGTGCATATTACAATTAAAACACCAAACCTTAAAGCCATACAGACAGATGACACAGTTTCCATGGGGAATATTGCTCTCAGTCAGGATCTCTTTGGCTCTCTGGGAGGATGATATAGAGAAATAGCTTGAGACAAACACATGTTAGTAGGCACATACACTACCGTTTAAAGATGTTTTGAATGAAGTGTCTAATGCTCACCAAGGCTGCATTCATTTGATATAAATGGCAGTAAATCAGCAATATTGTGAAATATTATTCATTTAAAACAACCGTTTTCTAATGTAATATATTTTAAAACGTAATTTATTCCCGTGATGGCAAAGTTGAATTTTAATCAGCCATTACTTTTAATATGCTTATTTGCCGTTTAGGAAACATCTCTTACTATTTTCAATGTTTGTTATGCTACTTAATGAGAGATTAATATAAAGTTCAAAAGAACACCATTGATTTGAAATATAATTTTGTAACATTATAAATGTATTGACTGTCACTTTTGATCAGTTTAATGCATCCTTACTGAATAAAAGCCTAAATTTCTACAAACATCTGAACAGTAGTGTATTTTTGGACTAAATAAGGAATCCAAACCTCTATGAGCTGATACAGTACAGGTGTCCCGATACATGACTCTGCCTCCATCTGCAAACTCCTCTGTAAACTGAGAGAAAAATAGCACATGAAAACAATGGAGGAAAAAAAGTATACAGCTGCACAGGACATTTTAAAGTTTTAAAACAGCAGTTTCTAATAATAATCAAACACCTGAGCAGTTTATCATCCGAGAGTCCACGTGGATTGTGAATAGAGATGCAAGGGGATGAATATGGGTACTGGAAGTGAATAAAAAATACTCTCAGAAGACCAACAGGGACACAAAGCTGCCAGTAAAGAAGTAGCATTACCATAGTCAAATATTATAGCAATTTGACCAACAAACCTGAGAGTCCAGATCCATTGTCAAAGTAAGACGGACAAACTGAGACAGACTGTCCTCCGCAGTGGAGGGATAGAGCACCAGACTAACTGTCCACCCTCTAAATGAGACAGATTTGACAGATTTATTTTTGTACGGTTTAATGATACAGAATTATTATATCTCAAGCAATTTATGAATAACTAAAAGAGCAATAAACGCTCACATATTTACCCCGCATCTCTCTGATCAACACTGAGCTCATCCAAGTAGATGGACTGCAGCACTTCGATTTCAGACAGGACACTGTGGTGTCAAACAGATGTGAGCTGAATTTCGTGTAGAACTAGCTTCATGTAACAACACCGAGTGTGACACATCAGATGGCCAAAGGGCCAAAGACAACAACTGCAGTAACACACTTGGCCATTTGTTTACTTGGATATTGACAATCTAACGTCTGATCAACTAACTATGGGTTCTTTATGTTAGCCTCGGACCAAATTATTTTCTTACATACTTTTATACGTATGTAACGTTACTATTCGTTTTTTAAACGGTATGTACTAGTTAGTCACCTATGACAGCTCTCCTATATCGTGACCACACTGTAGTTCAAATCATTTAAGCCTAACAAATGAGATCCTTTCAGTTCATATATCACACAACTACTGATTTATATGGGAATTCATAATAAATACACGTTTCTGACAGTATTTACCAGCAGCCCAATACTCACGCGCACTCGGCCGCCATGTTCGCGGTGACGCCACCCTGCACGACATCGGTCAGCTGACACAGAGACCTCTTTTCTTTATTTGTTCTGTTCCTGCCTTTCTTTATGTTCATAAAAAAGCTATTTAAATGCATCTTTCTCTTTTAACAGTCATTGTCAACTTTTATTTTCTTCTTCTCTTCCATATGTTCAGATGACATTGGATGTATTGTTGATACATTATGTGTAATGTACGCAAAGTTGTATTTCATTAATGCCATCTCTGAATTGTTTGCAATAAAAATAAAAACAATTAACTATAAAAAATAGTATTCATTTCGATCTAAACTTAAAATCCCGCCTAGAGGATTGTGGAATGCACAGATCTCTGATATTAATTGGAAAGATGCTTTGTTAAATCCATACAAATGTCGTATTTTGAACAAAGTTAAAGATGTAGGCTACACTAAAATACTCCCATGTAATGTGTTTTTGTCGAAATTCATGAACATCGACAACAACTGCACTTTTTGTGCTATACATGAGGAAGAATTGGCTCATTTGTTTTATACCTGTAATTTGTCTTGAAAAATTTGATCTGATGTTCTTTTTTATTTGTCCCAAAAATGTTAATTATATGCCGTCTCTAAAAGATGTTATATGTTCTTACACACACCAAAGCAAAAGGTCTGAGTATGTTGTGAATTTCTATATTGTGCATGCTAAAGATCACATCCACAAACAAAAGTCTGCTAAACGCATATCTAATTGTGATGTATTTTTAATTGAAGTGTACGAGTCAATGAAAGAAATCTTTAATATTAGTCAATAACAAAAAGAATGATACATTGTTACATTTTATGGGGAAATTCTTTGCATAGTAATGTCCTCACTATACATCGCCATTATTTTCTTTTTTTTATGTAGACTACCTGGTATTTTATTGTCTTTTTTTTTTAAATGATCCCTTCATGTATATTCAGTGTAATTTGATATAAAACTTATTTAGTGCATTAAGAAAAAAGAAAGAAGACAGAGCTGACTGACAAACAGATAGGAATTTCATTGATTTATGAGTCATAAACATATGACTCAGAGGTCAAATTAAATCATCTAAAGAAATGGTTCTTCCACCATTTATTTAGCAGGTTAAACTCAGGAACAATTCTGGCATGCACATTTTAGCATTTTATACTGCAAAGAACAGCGAGCATTTAGTCAATCCAGCAGTAGTCACTTACAGACATGCCTCTTTCACAACTGCAAGACGTTAGAAATTAACACTTGTGGGGTTTGTGATTTTTAAAATCAGATTTTATTGCTAATTTATTATTTGCATACATTAATGGCATATATCAAGTCAATTTTAATCCAACAAGAAACATCTCTCACTAATCACAGTGGAACACATAAGACAGTTTGTATATAGTGTCTTTCCTGGACCAGCCTTTTGATGCCAGTGTAAATCCATGCCAGTCAATTCCCCTTTTGTAAAAACAAAAAACAGAAACAACAACCTTACATTGATAAACATCTGTGTAAACAAACGCTGATGTTCGGCACATAATAGCAAGTTATTTTTTATTCCTCTTGGTTTTATCTAAGCGCAGTGTTAACATAAAAAAGGTCACATTTCTGAGCTGAAAACGTGACCCAAAGGATCAGAGTTGCAACGGTGTTCGATTTGTCCCTCTTTCCGTCTGTTCTGGCACCTCTGCTCTAACAGCACTTCTTCCCTTTCTTCCTCCTTTCTCTGTCCCTGTGGGAATTTATATGGACAGTGTCCTTTTCTCTCTCCCTCTGTCTTTCTGCTCGACTCTGGCTCTGTTTCTTGGCCCGAAGGACCATGTGGGTGAAAGCCATGAACATCTGCAAACAGAATACAAGCCATAAAAATGTTACATATTACTTTTAACACATCAGAGTGGACAGAAAGACAAAGATGAATAAGTTGAAAGATACATAGTCTATTACTCCATTCAAGCCAATTTAAAATAAAATATTTTGGTTAAAGCTGCAGTCCGTAAGTTTTGCCTCTTTGTCGCCATCTCTGTTTGAAAACCTGGAATTGCAGCTGTGTGCGGAATTATCTTTCTTGCGTGGGTTGTGAGTCGGCACGGCTCCAGCGCGGATAAATCTAATGTTCTGAAGAGTATGTGTGGCAGTCAGTCACTGCACCGGTGTGTGGATATTTACTGTACTTTGCAATCACATATTCTAGCCTATATCTTGGAATATGACCCATATAAGCATTTTCACCGTACTGTATATTGTCATCTGAACAAGTAACAAGTCTGCCACATTTGTTCTGACCAACTGAGGAAAAAAGCATTACCATAAATCTCGCTACCAATGGTGATTAAATCTAAAGATTGGTTAGCTCATTTCACATCAAACCGTTCAAATTATTATTATTGTTATTCTTTATTCTCAAATGATTAATGTTAACAACATCAGCATTGGTGACTATGAGTATAGTGTGTATTAGCGTGTGGATTTCAATTTCTGCACAGTCTAATCTAATTGTCATACTCTTCGAATTTCATATTAAGAAATTCTTTTAACCCAAAATGCAAATTATGCTCCCTTCGAACAGGTTTTCTTTAAAATACAAATCTTTGTAATCCCAGGCTATCTGTAATCAGAAGCACATTTATAACTGGAATATAATTTAATTTCATTCACATGCGTTTCATAAACACATAATGCTTTATGGATAACAATCCACCATCAAAATGATACATTTAATTATTCCAGCTGCTGTGAGAAAAGGCTATAAACGATCCGCCACCTGCAGGATCCTCACATGCGATAGCCTAGTAGCCGGGACAACTTCTTTATGTTTACAGACGTGACGTAATGACGCAGTGCCATGCTTGAATTTCCTGCAAAAACCTACCCGTACCACTCAAATTAGAAAACATTATTATAAGATAACCGTTGTGAATCGGGCTAAAATAAGGTGATAGTTTCGAAAACTGGCTGGTTATGTACTTGCTCAAATATTGATTTCGGATCATTTTTAACCAAAAAAAGTTACGGACTGCAGCTTTAAGTACTGAGCTTAAATACTGAGGTCTTTTAAATACATTTAGGCTTAAATAAACTTAAATACAGAGGATTTTTTAAAGAATTTGGGCTTAAATAATGTGGATTTTAATTAATTAATTTAGGCTTAAATGATCTTAAATACTAATATTTTAGAATTAATTTGAGTTTAAATTAGCTTAATACATTGCACAGCATTAAAAAAAAAAAACTCACCTCTTCTACATTGATATTCTCTTTAGCACTTGTCTCAAATAGCCTCACACCAACTGACTCTCCAAAGCGCAGAGCATCTTGAGAGTCCACAAGCTTTTTAGAAGGATCATCATTCTTGTTTCCAACTATTAAGGATCATAGTGGAAAGTCATATCAAAGTCAAACATTTAATACTACAACAAATTGAGAATATACAACCAAAACATCTATTTTAATCACATTGCAACTTAAAAAAATTTAATGTAAAACCCCCCCCAAAAAAAAAACTAACCTAAAATTTTGCAGACATTGTCACAGTTCTGTGATATCTCGTTTAACCATCTTTTCACGTTGACAAATGATTCTGGATTTGTGACATCGTAAACAATAATGACACCATGAGTGTTTCTGTAATACCTAGAGAAGTACAGCAAACACGTGAGGGGAAGACTGACGGAGATCACGAGAATGGTCAAACAACATCTTTAATAAGCAGCTAGACTGGAGCGAGGCTTACGTCGAGGTGATGGTCCTGAACCTTTCCTGCCCTGCAGTGTCCCAGATCTGGAGTTTAACTCTTTCTCCATCAATCTCTATTGTGCGGATCTTGAAGTCAACTCCAATAGTAGTTATGTAACTGCCTGTGAAGAGTGCAGAAGCATGTTTTTAAATCTAGTCATAACACTTGAACTTCTTTAACACTTTCAAGCAAACATACACTCTCACTTTGTCTTGCTTTGCTCTGTCTTGGATTTGAGAACAGTGAATTAGATCATATATTTACAGACCCTTTGACTCATTTTCTGTCTTTCTCACACAGACACACACTTTGTGCCAAGCAGACTCACCAGAGAACGAGTTGTCTGCGAATCGTAGGAGCAAACTGCTTTTCCCTACACCTGCAACAGAGTCAGAGCAACATGTGTTAAATGTTCAGCCGTGATAACTTAGTACATGTTTTTAAAAGCATTTCTTATATAAAACATGATTATAATATTTAGATATTATTAAATGAACAGTTAAACGTGAATATATAAAAATTGAAATGTGAACTAGAAATACAATAAACAAAAACAAGTGCAACAGCACAGTGTAAATAGCTCTAGAAAATATCTCACATAGTCCATCTATACCATGCAATGTACAGTGGGTACGGAAAGTATTCAGACCCCCTTAAATTTTTCACTCTTTGTTATATTGCAGCCATTTGCTAAAATCATTTAAGTAAATTTTGTTTCCTCATTAATGTACACACAGTACCCCATATTGACAGAAAAACACAGAATTGTTGACATTTTTGCAGATTTATTAAAAAAGAAAAACTGAAATATCACATGGTCCTAAGTATTCAGACCCTTTGCTGTGACGCTCATATATTTAACTCAGGTGCTGTCCATTTCTTCTGATCATCCTTGAGATGGTTCTACACCTTCATTTGAGTCCAGCTGTGTTTGATTATACTGATTGGACTTGATTAGGAAACCCACACCCCTGTCTATATAAGACCTTACAGCTCACAGTGCATGGGTAAAAACATGCGATCCTACCAGACCTCAAGTTGAACTCTCGCCTTGATCTGTTTCTTAAGTTCCGTTTCTTTTAACCGCCGCCTCAAACTTGTGTCCATTACTCAACTCGACGCCTCCTCGATTGTAATTTGTTTTTAAACGCAGCTAGGCTAGCTACTTAACTAGCCGCAGATGCTCTTAGATAATAAGCTCAAACTCGGATCTAAAGAAGAGCTCACCGAAAACACTTTAAACCACATACTCCGAGCACGCTGGGGAAATTACGGAAGACTTGGCAGAAGTTGCTGTCGGGCGGTCGGGTCGGTCCTGCAGGCAGGGGGAAGCTCGGACAGTGTCCCAGCGGCCGCAGAGATCAGATCCGCCCCTCTGAGGCCGCCGCACCTGAATGTTGAGTCACTCTCCTCCTCCTCATCATGTGCCTGAGTTTCCCTGTCTCCTCCTCCTCATGCCACTCCTGTTGCTGCTGCGATTGCCATCGCTATTCTGTCGCAACACACCAACTGATGACATTCCTGCCACACACTGGAACTGGTAAGCTTGCATACAGAAACCGCATTTTTGGCCATAATGCCTTGATTCGCGTATAAAAATGCTGTATACGCTACCAGTCAAAAGTTTTTGAACAGTGAGATTTGTAAAGAAGTCTCTTCTGCTCACTCATCAAGCCTGCATTTATGTGATCCAAAATAGAGCAAAAGCAGTAATATTGTGAAATGTTTTTACTATTTAAAATAACTGCTTTCTATTTGAATATATTTCAAAACGGAATTTATTTCTGTGATCAAAGCATCATTACTCCAGTCTTCAGTGTCACGTGATTCTTCAGAAATCATTCTAATATCCTGATTTGCTGTTCAAGAAACATGTATTATTATTATCAATATTTAAAACAGTTGAGTACATTGTTTCAGGATTCTTTGATGAATAGAAAGATCAGCATTGATCTGAAATAAAAAGCTTTTGTAACATTATACACTATACCATTCAAAAGCTTGGAGTCAGTATAAGTTTTATTTTTATTTTGGGGGGAGGTAAATTATAGAAATTAATACTTTTATAATGTTACAAAAGCGTTTTATTTCACATAAATGCTGTTCTTCTGAACTTTCTATTCATCAAAGAAACCTGAAAAAACTGCTGCTACTAAAATGTTTTTTATTATTATTAGCAAATCAGAATATTAGAATGATTTCTGAAGGATCATGTGACTGGAGCAATGATGCTAAAAAGTCTGCTTTGAAATCACAGGAATACGTTATATTTTAAAATATATTCAAATAGAAAATAGCTATTTTAAATATTTCAAAATTGTACTGTTTTGCTGTATTTTGGATCAAATAAATGCAGGCTTGGTGAGCAGGAGAGAATTCTTAAAAAAAAAACATGAAAAATCTTACATTTCAAAAACTTTTGACTGGTAATGTAGGCAGACCAATAGGTTCTGAGATTGAAATATTTTCAATCTGAAATGGTTTAAAAATAGACTCACTAATAGTTGAACTTTCTATTCATCAAAGAAACCTGAAAAAACTGCTACTACTAAAATGTTTTTTATTATTATTATTATTATTAGCAGCAAATCAGAATATTAGAATGATTTCTGAAGGATCATGTGACTGGAGCAATGATGCTAAAAAGTCTGCTTTGAAATCACAGGAATACGTTATATTTTAAAATATATTCAAATAGAAAATAGCTATTTTAAATATTTCAAAATTGTACTGTTTTGCTGTATTTTGGATCAAATAAATGCAGGCTTGGTGAGCAGGAGAGAATTCTTAAAAAAAAAAAACATGAAAAATCTTACATTTCAAAAACTTTTGACTGGTAATGTAGGCAGACCAATAGGTTCTGAGATTGAAATATTTTCAATCTGAAATGGTTTAAAAATAGACTCACTAATAGTTCATTAAAAAAAGTTTTACAGATAAAGAAATGAATAGTGCTTTAATAAAAATGTTTAAAATGATTATCACATACATGAAATTAATTTTCCAGTTGTATCAGCAGCCTAATAACATTGATTTTTACATGCTCAGGGCTGCGGTTTTGACAACGTGGCCAACTGAATACTACTCACTGCATTTCTGTTACCGATGTTTTGACCATTTCCTTAGACTAATACATACTTATTAGGTACTTATGATAATACTTAGAGATGATACAGTTTAGATACAGTAATTAACATTGTAAATCTAACATAATTTTTGTATATTTTCATAAATAAAAAAAATTATGTACATGAGTAATACTATACTTTGTGTGTTTTACTAGTGTAACACCAAAAACGACCAAGTGCACCTTCAAATGCCTTTTCAGGGTTAAAAGCTAAAAAAACACACATTGAAAAATGTTGAAAACGGCGAACAATAACCAAAAAAAGTTTATTATAAAAATACATTGTTTAGTTGCATTCTAGCAAATTGTAATTCAAGAATTTGTCACAGATTTCAAATCAAATTCAAACAAATGTTGGCTTGTGCTCAAAATGACAGAGAAAAGGCTCTGTAACTGAAGTTGGTGAACACATCAATTTGGTGACTGCTGCCCCCTACTGTCATAACCTGAAAGATGAATATTGGGGAAAGGTTACAATCATTCCATTCACAAGTCTTTACTTTCCACACACATAACCAATGAAGATACATTTTAAATTGCATATATACATATATACATCACCAATTACAAGACACCATCCCCCAGCACTGAGGCCAATCAACAACTTGCTGAAGACCTGAATGAGTTTTACTGTGGATTTGAAACTCCCAGTCTAACACCCCACACCCGCTCTGAACATCTCTCCACACAACCATCAACACCTCCTGCAACCCCCCTCTCCCCCACTCCTACGTTTCAGATCAGTGAGGATGATGTGCGCCAGGTCTTCAGAAAGAACGAGAAGAAAAGCACCAAGCCCAGACGGTGTGACACCAGCCTGTCTAAAAACCTGCGCTGACCAACTGGCCCCCATCTTCTCACAGATCTTCAACAGATCATTGGAGCTGTGCAAAGTCCCTGCCTACTTCAAACACTCCACCATCATCCCCGTCCCAAAGAAACCCAAGATAACAGGACTTAATGACTACAGACCTGTGGCCCTAACATCTGTGGTCATGAAGACATTTGAGAGGCTGGTGTGACTATCTGTCAATGGATCACCAGGTTTCTGACAGATAGGCAACAGCTAGTGAGAACTGGTAAATTCACATCCAACAACCGCACCACCAGCACTGGCACCCCTCAGGGTTGCGTCCTCTCCCCACTGCTCTTCTCCCTCTACACCAATGACTGCACCTCTAAAGACCCCTCTGTCAAGCTCCTGAAGTATGCAGATGACACTACAGTCATCGGTCTCATCAAGGATGGAGACGAGTCTGCTTACAGACAGGAGGTTAAAGAGCTGGCTGTCTGGTGCAGTCTTAACAACTTGGAGCTGAACACCCTCAAGACTGTGGAGATGATCGTGGACTTCAGGAGGAACCCCCATGCACTTCCCCCACTCACCATCATGGATATCACTGTAACGACAGTGGAGTCATTCAGGTACCTGGGCACCACCATCTCTCAGGACCTGAAGTGGGACACTCACATTGACTCCATTGTTAAAAAGGCCCAGCAGAGGTTGTACTTCCTTCGCCAGCTGAGGAAATTCAACCTGCCACAGGAGCTGCTGAAGCAGTTCTACTCAGCCGTCATCGAGTCTGTTCTGTGCACTTCAATAACTGTCTGGTTTGGTTCAGCTACAAAATCAGATATCAGAAGACTACAGAGAACGGTTCGGACTGCTGAAAGGATTATTGGTGCCCCCTGCCTACCCTCCAAGAACTGTATACATCCAGAGTGAGGAAAAGGGCTCAGAAAATCACTGGATCCATCACATCCAAGCCATCTCCTTTTTGAACTTTTGCCATCTGGTCGGCGTTACAGAGCATCTAATACCAGGACAGCCAGGCACAAGAACAGTTTCTTTTCCCCAGGCAATCTACCTCATGAACAGTTAATGTTCTCCCATTGTGCAATTAAAGTACAGTATGTGCAATAACCTTATAATTATTTATCACCCTAAATCCTAGTACATCCCTACAACTTATTTTATTTTATTCTATTCCATCTATACCACATATGTACATACAATTTATTATTTTTTTGTGGTTTATATTTATGCATGTGTATTTTATTCACATCTCATTTTTATTATCTGTGTGTTGTTGTTGTCTCCGTGTACTGGAAGCTTGTGACACTATAACAAATTCCTTGTATGTGCAAACATACTTGGCAATAAAGCTCTTTCTTTCTGATATAGCTGCAATTTGTAATATCTGTTAAAACATACAAATCTGGCAAGGCGAATCACGGGTGCACCTACCCTATGTTCAGTGTTTTTGAGATTGAGAGCCAGTGTATTGAGTGAGGAAGGAGTGCAGGGAATCTGAGCTTTCACTGTTCCTCCATGTAAACAGTGGGACACATATGGACCCTCACCTACTGACATGATCTAAATACAACCACAACATAATATATTATTTAGAAAATGTAAATAATTTTATATAAATATATATAAAATGTGCATTTTCGGTCACATTAAATTGACAACTAGTCCTTCTCACCAGGTCCTGGTGAAAGACAGCTTCCCTTTGACAGCCGGGCAAAGGGAAGACAGAGGTGGGGGACATGGAACGGAGGTGCCATAATGAGAGCGATGGGCCTCCACCACAGAGCTGGAGAGGAAATAGATAACATTTTATAACAATAGGGGCATCCATCTTAACATACATACATAGAGGGGCATTCCAGAGGAGCAGTACACCATTACAAGCATGCAGATAGTAACTGAGGTATTTAAAAACAAGCATGTCAATGCATATGCAGAAAAATCAGACACGAGATAAACAAGAACAAATAAAGACAATAGCTTCACTGTCCCTGCCAACCAATCACAAGTCCATCTTACCATCCAATCAGAGTCCGTAGCAAGACAGCTAATCCACTTCCCAAA